ACATGCGTAAGACTATATATTCTATCAGCACGGACCTGATGACGAAAACCAAATGTCACAGATGACATCATACAAATGCAGATCACATAAGAATGAATGAATACGTCATCGTATAACATAAATAATATATACATAATTATACGTCATCAGTCAAGTTAGCCAACCGAATCATTATAAACTTACCTAATCCTCAAGTTACAGGATTAGTCATGACAAGATAGCAGTCTGTTGCTGTCCAAATTTAGAAGTGTGCTGCAGTAGCAAGAACAATCCTCTTGGCCTGTTGATGCACTGCTTTACTGGGGTCCAGGTGACAAGGGATGAAGGAAGCTCACAATGATCCTTTGAGATATTTGGTCACAGAACCCAAGAGACTCTCTGCAGGTAGGGAAGGTATTGCAGGGATAATCCTTGACATGCCAATCAGGTCAATGACCCTTTTTTTTGCTGATGGATAGAAATGATGGATGACGCTGCACAGACTTTCAGAACTCTGATACCAACATGTCAGATTTCAGGAACTACAAATCCTCTGCCCCCCTGCCTGATCACCAGACTGGGTTTGCTTTTTTTTGTGTTTTTGAGTCTTACCTGTTTCTGCCAGCAATCAGATCCATCCATACACAATCCCTTAACTGTTTGAGAAGGAGGGTGATTATGGCTGGTGCAAGTCTGGGGAGAGATACATTTCCTGAGCCCCTGTTCCTGTTTGATCACATCCTGATGATGATCCATACACAGCCCATTTTTTCTCATATCTTTTTCCCCTTCTTTTTTTTTGGTCATGAGGAACCTAGAATGTTCTGAATACAATGAACTTTGTATTGCAATTCCTTCGCTGAGAAAACACCAGATCGACAGGGTTTTTTTTCTTTTTGATTCTGACAAACGAGTGGAAATCAGTCTGCAGTCTGGTACAAGAAATCTGACCGGTTTCACACGGTTGATCTTCCCCGGTCCGAGCTGTTTGATCTCGGCGAGTAAGTGTGTGTGTGTGAGTGTGTTCGTTCTTGTATTATGGGGTGGATGTGGGATTGGGAGAATTGTCTCCTTGGTTTCGCTCTGTCGTTATTGTTTTTTAAAGGAACTTCGGACACCTTGGCAATCAATCGCCCTTCGACGACTTCCATCGCTTTTTGACTCTTGCTACCAAGAACCTAGAACCTCCCAAAGGAATCCACTCAGCTTGGACCCCCCGCAACAAATCAGCAACAAGCAATATCGCGACTTTCAAATTACCCATCTCGCTGTTCTGCGCTGATCTTCTCTGCCACCCCACTCCAATATTCATCCATCGACGATCACCATTCCTGTAAAGATATCCTCACAAGCACCAGCAGGACTACGCATTTAGGCGATAGGATATCAAGAACTCGGACCCACAAGAGAAAGGTATGTCAAGTTTCCTCTCTCTTGCCTTCTTTATTTCTGCGCTCGAGCATCAAAGCGAGCGATTAGCCGTTCATTGCTTCTCAAGCCTAATCGGAAACAAGCCTGATTATCACCAGAAGGGTGATCAGCCTACACCCAGTTTCCAGTGCTTTCCAAAACCAGACAGAGTTCAGTCAGTCGGATGATCACTGGCTGTGTGCAGA